TGTAACTGATTAGCACAGCATGAATCTCAGCACCCTGCCTTTTATGACTCCCTTTCAAAAACATTCAGGACACTGAGAGTGTTGAAATGTTCATTTGCTACATAACTGGATAAACAGTTGAAATAGTGCGAGAAGCAGTAAAAACTTGAAAATTTCCAGCTGTTATCTAAAAGTAGGGATAAAGAAATGAAATTATTAGCAAATAAATTGTTAACTAAACATGCTTCAGTCATTTAAAATGCGTAGTTAAAATTATCAATAAAGTCTGAAGTTATTAGCTTAAGTTTTGCCAGGAGTTGAAATTGCTAGCTAAACATACTAGATAACAATATATTAGTCATTAAAAAAATTCCATAATCATGTCATTGACCCATGGGAGATTAATTTGTAAAGGCTTTAAAGATGTATTAAGAATTTGTTATTGTTGTTAGCTTAAAATAGCTTGCAAATCATTAAATGCTGAACTCAAATTTTATACAGTTTAGCTCAGAGCTCAGCTTTTCTCTTGCAGCGGAGTCGGACTCTCGGGCTGACGTTTATGTGGAGGGAAAGGACCAGATTGGAGGCTGGTTTCAGTCATCGCTGCTCACCAGTGTGGCTGTCCGGAACAAGGCACCTTACAAGTGAGCGTGCCTTCCACTTGCTACACAGATGATAATGATACACGGAAAGAAAATTGATGAAAGTGTCTGAAAAATGAATATTGTTGCAGGTCTCTTGTGGTCCACGGCTTTGCAGTCAGTGAGAAAGGAGAGAAGATGTCCAAGTCGGTGGGCAACGTTGTGGATCCTGATGTGGTCATTAATGGAGGGAAGGTAAAACGGATGAAGACTTTTCAACCTGTTCTAGATTTAAAATTAAGATAAAGTTAAATAAAGGACAATTGTTCACTGCAATCTACATGTTGTGTCAGAGCTACACTCTGCAAATATAGAACTTCACGCATCAAAGATTTCCAATTGTGATTCTTTGATTTGATCATTTCCTTGTTTGCCACTTTAAAAAACGCACAAAAAAGATTTTAAATGAAGCTGAAACTGAGAAGATAAATTTGCATTTCTGTGTAGAAACTTTCTAAACTGTCATCTTTGCCAGGGCCCCACTGAGCCGGCCTACGGGGCAGACGTGCTCCGCTGGTGGGTGGCAGAGTCGAACGTCTTCTCTGAGGTCCAGATTGGCCCCTCTGCGCTCAACTCAGCCCGGGACAGTATCAGTAAGGTACTTTAAGGTGCAGTTTATCTGCTCGCCACGTTCATATCACCTGCTGCACCTCCTCTCATGGCTGTTGTTTGCCTTCCAGCTTAGGAACACTCTGAAATTCCTGCTCGGAAACCTGCAGGGCTTCGACCCACGACTGCAGGCTGTGGATCCCAAACAGATGCACTACATCGACCAGTACATGCTGCACCTGCTGCGCGAGTACAGCATCAAGGTGTGTTTAAGGTGTAGTCCATCCAACTAATGAAACGAGCACATTTGTGCCCCCTGCTGACGTCTCTTTGTTCCCAGGTTACAGACGCCTACAGTGAGTTTGATGCTGGCAGGGTCATCCGTGTGCTGCAGGCCTTCATAACCAGAGAACTCTCCAGCTTCTACTTCAGTATCATCAAGGACAGGTAACATGTCAGAACATGTTAAAGATTCCTTTGCCTCCAGTAGCTTTGTTCATGTCTTTGTCTCTCCGTCGGTCAGACTGTACTGCGATGCAGAGGACTCGTTGGGTCGAAGATCCTGCCAGACGGTTTTAGAGGAAATTCTGGATGGCGTGACGAGATCCATCGCTCCGATCTTGCCACATATGGCTGAAGAGGTGTACCTGCACGCACCAGGACATGACAGTACGTGTCTTTCGATTTTCTGTGGTTACTCTTTTACTGCCGCATGCGTTCTCCACCACACAGTCTTTCTATGTTTTCTGTGTTTCAATAGAAGCGGAGACATTATTTAAAAGTGGCTGGATTAAAAGCAGCTCTGTGTGGCGGCGACCAGGATTAGAGGAGGCTGTGGAAGGAGCGTGTGCCATCAGGGACTCCTTCCTGTCTTCCATTCCTGGCAAAAACGCCGCCAGGTACGACCTCACTGTCGCCATCGAACCAGGTCTCCTGTTCGAACTCATGGAGGTAAGCTGGCTCTTCATATGAACTGAACGGAAGTGTGTGCTACAGTGCAGAAGGATTGTGTGACAGAAACTCCCATGGGTTTGTTTTTGTGTTGGTTTTGTTAACATCAAAGAAATAGATCTAGACTTTAAACTGACCTAGAGATGCTGTATTTGGGTCATCTGTTGTAGTGTACTGCACTAGTACCTCTGGTGTAGGATATGTGTTAGTGAACAACCTGCTGAGCTCAGCAAGCTGTGAAAGAAGCCGGCTGCTGGAGTGAAGGGACGTCCATGATTACTAATTTCTTAATCAATTAAATTTAGACTAGTAAACTTGTTTTAAAGGAAGAAGACCCCCCCAGGTGAACATCCACACGCGCTGTAACTTTGTAAAATGTTACAAATAAATGCATCCATAAATTTAAGTTTAACTAATTTATGATGTATATATTTATAATCAGCTAATTTAGTTGCTTTAGTCTGATTCCAGCTTAGTGTGAGAGTCTGCCAACCTCAAAACATTATTTATGATGATGCTAGTTTCTCCTCATCTCATTCATATTCTCACCTTGAAGCAGAGAGAAGAGAAATATTAATGAGTTTGATAGGAAGATGTTGCATCACTCTAAGCATGATAAACGCTTCCCAATATACCCGTCTCAAGCATAACAGTGAGAAAATAAATTGTCTGAGTTTCTCACTCATCTTGATTCATTTTGAGCAGAGTTTGGAAAAACTTTTGAAGTACTCACGAAACAAAGCAAAGATTGGCCCATCATCACCAAAACCCCATCCAGCTTTTTTTAACGTCATAAACGGACTGAAATCCAATTTAAATATAAATTAATATCTGGCTGATTTTACAAGCTACCATGTCACTTTGCTTAATTACGGCATCAGCCAATTACAGCCATTACCTTTACCGGGACAGCTGCTGTTGTGCACTGAAATTGTATTTCTGGTGCCTCATATTAGCACTCAGTTAAAACATTGTGCATTTTTTGATTTGTGAAACACTGTGCACTACTTTGTACTTGAATTTTTTAATATATATAATATATATACTCCTGCCATCATCCACTTTACTTCCAGTCTCTCCAGGAGGAGCCCACCTCCACCACCTCCCAGCTGGCTGAGCTGATGATGGCAGCTCGGGTCAACCTGGCCACAAAGATGCCTCGAGACCTGGATCCGGAGGCTCTGCTGAACCATGGCACCTTCCTCATCAACCTGGAGGGTGAGGACCTTCAGCCTAAAACTCCCAGATAAGAGTAACAGCAGCTGATAGCTGTTACAGCCATGCTTTTTCCCTGCCTGTGTGTAAACATGTTTATTTCTGCTTGGAAGTTAACATGGAAGCCTGTGTAGACTCACTCACTCAAGTGATCATTAGATGTTTTTGATTCCTGTGTTGTTTTTTCATTATGCAACCGTAGAAATATATACTTTGTCACATAAAGTAAAATTTTGGTGTTGAAATGACTTCTATTCAAACTGCTTTGACAGTTTTTTTGCATTTCTATACATTCATAGACCTGCAAATCTTCATGTTTCACACCAGAATCTGTCTGTGTTTTATCAGGTGGTGTAATCCGCGAGGAGAGCGCCTACAGTATCGCAGTGACGCCCACCTCTGCTGCCCGTTGCCCACGGTGTCGCCGCTACACCGCCAACTCAGCGGATTGCCTCTGCCCGCGCTGCCAGAGTGTCGTCTCCCAGGCTCACTGATGACCTCTGGCTCGGTTTGAAGGGCTGACCAGAGACCAGGTTTTGCACGCCCATTGGAGGCTGTAAAAAGGACTAAAAACATCTGCTGTCGTGCCGTAGTTCTCTCTCAGAGGATGCTTATTGGAAGAAAAACGAAGCCTCAGCTCAGCACAGGAAGGCAACAAAGCACCTGGTCTCTGAAATGTGTTTTAACAAATGTAAAAAGATGGTCTATAGGTGGGGTTTCCATTCAGAGAGCTTACGTGTGTCTGCGTTCTTTTAAAAAGAAATGTGCTACAGCCACATTTCACCCCAAAGGCACACTCGTCTCCTCTGGTTTGTAGCGTTTATTTCTCATCTTCTCCCCTAATCTAAACTATTTTTGGTACCAGTTGCCAAGTTTTGGAGCTTTAGAGATGTTTGTTGTCTCGTCTATTAATGATATAATAGTAAAAAATCTCGTAATTGTGTTAGAGACACAAGTTTGGATTGTGTGGTTTGCCTGAGTCTCCAGTTACACCTTAAAACAATCACTTACAGCACCTACAGGCTAATTTGTCAGAAGTGCATTTGGATGTAGCGCCTTCAGTTCTCCCTCCCTTGTGTAAAGCACCAAATAAAATGTGCCTCGGATACGTTGACCGTTCTGGTGTCAGCAAAGCTGTACAATCTTGAATGCACTTTGTCATTTAAAAATATTTGAATTTAGTAGATGATGCTCCTGATATGAACGTCTTGGCCACCATATTTTTGAGATTTTAAAAGGTCCTAAAATGCACTGAATTAATTATTCTAAATTGTAAGCTTGCAATGTTGCTGTAAATGCTGTTATCTAGCTGCAAGCTTCTTTTGTTGGTGCATTTAGATCATACCTGATCATAAGGATTGTGGATATTTTCTTTTTCAAAAATGTATTTCCCTGTTTAGATCTGTAGTATTCTGGGGAAGGCAGATGTCAAATCCAGGTGATTAAACAGCTCTACAAACCAGAGGAGAAATGAGTGTTTGATTTAGTTGCTCCTTTTACTGTATGGGAAAAGAATGCACAACAGAGTCACTGTGTGATAGCAAACTGATGCTGGTGGGTACTTCTCCTTTGTATAATAGCTTGTATTCCTTGTAAACATAAAGAATTCAAAGTTGTCTGACTTATAAATGAAAAAATAAAGAACGGGTCTTCAGACTACTGTTCTCTAAGCTTTAAGAAGCATCTTTATTCTGCATGGGAGCAGCTGGTGTACAGGCACAGCTATTAAAGTTCAGTCTGCATATATAAATAAAAAATCAGGTCCATTTTTCTTGCTAATACATTTCTGATCTGTGAAGAAGAGGAGTCGTCGTCTGACACGGCACACAGGGTGTCTGACTTTAACGTGAGTACTAACACAAATATTTAATCTCATTTGCTGTCACATGCAGGGAAATAAGATGGATTAAAAAAAACGATTAAAAGCCTCTGAATCCACCGTGTTTAACACCACCTATGATTACTGAGCAGAACAACAAAACCTCCAAACGGGGGTGAGAAAGTTCTTTATCCTCTTCCTCTCTGACAGTCTCTCACATTCCAACTATCTGCAGCATCCTCCCCTCAGTCCTCCGTGGTGAGGACCTCTACGGCCTCCAGCAGGTGGAGGGCCAGACTGTACTGAGCGTGGTTCTCCGGCAGTATCTCGATCAGACGACCGACCAGCCGGCTGGTCTGGGGCAGCGGGATCAGGGGACACCGCAGCTCACGTGGGTCCTGCAAAATAAACCACACTTCCAGTTAAAAATGACCAGATGATTTATTTAAACTACATCAAACAAAAACGCGGTGCCAAATTCAGTTGAGCAATAGAAAAAAAACAACAACACATTGGCTCTTTGGGGACACCAAAGGTTCCTATTTGTTTCTGAAAATGCATAAATGTAGAGTTGTATGTACACTCAACTATGCACTTTAGTTCTCCAAGCACTACTTGCAAATAACCCTTTAGGAAAAGAGCAGGCTGTAGTGTTGGGATCTCACCATCGCCTTCAGCCACGTGCAGAGGGTGGGGGGCAGGCGGGCCAGCAGCTCCATGGCGGCCTGCGTCTGGTTCTGGCTGTGGAGAAGCGAGTAGCTCAGCCTCTGACCTGTCAGCACCAACAACTGGGAGCCCAAAACATCCTTATCTTCCACCTCTAACATCACCTGAGGACGGGGAGATTAATTGCTTTAAGATTTAAGTTTTCGTGATCTACGGTTTGTGGCTACAAATCTCTTCAGATAACCACACCTAACCAATACCTAAACCAAGTAGTCTTAGTGCCTAAAGTGAGTTTAAGCAAGTTTTCGTTATCTACAAGGAAACAGAGTTTCCAACCTCTTCTGCCCGAAGATCCAGTCCTTGGCTGTAGAGCTCGCAGACGAGATGCCGCCGCAGGATGTCCGGGTTGACCTGCAGCAGAGAGCCGAGCTCTAAACACAGCGAGGGCCACCACTCGGCTTTGGGTCCGCTTGAAGGAAGTGGAGCGGAGCTAGAGGGATCATCTATAGCCTGAACCCAACCGGTCAGCACCCGCAGGAGGAACTGAAACAGGACAAAGTGGAACAGCAGGAGATCAGGCGATGGGTGTGGAACATCATTGTCCGATTATTGTCTGCATTTTGTTCCACCTCTTACCTCCTGTCGCACAGACACCAAACCTGGGTCCATGTCTCCGCTGGGCATCAGCTGGATGGTCGTCAGGTCTCTGAAGAAAGCATTCTTACCCTGCAAACACACGTGACACAAATAGATAAACATTAGAAATGTGGGCTGGTATCATTTGTGATCTGTATCTGCTAGCACCGGAGCACCATCAGGTCACTGTGGTGGTCAGCTGTCTGCTAACTAAAATCACTTAACTGGACCTCTCAACTGTTAGCACAGTTAATGTTACAGTAAGCTAACCATACAGTAAACTTGCTAACCCACCTATTTGCCAATTGCTGATAACTTAGTACTGCCTACTGTCATCCAGATGTCGCCACATCTAACTCCAACAAACATGGAGGTGGCTTTACGGAGACTTCAGAACCTCCAGTGGGTGACGGATGGATTCAAATGCAGCAGTGAGTGTCCCTCCATGTCTACGTTTTTGTTCTAAACTTTGGCAGAGTGTCGATCTCCTCACCTTGCTATCAAAAAGGCTGAATGGTTTGACCTTGACACTGAAGGTCATAGCAGCATGTAGCAGGGATGCTAACAGGCAGTGGTGCTGGACCAGCGGGTAGTGAACACCTCTTTGCTCCAGGGCAAGTTCAGCAATGGAAGCTGGGCCCTCGGCTCCAGACCACGCCTCCTCGATGGACAACTCTGGGGCAGAAACCTCCTCCACCGCCGAGTCCGCCTGCACGGAAAAGGAAAATACGGCTAATGAGAGGATTCATTTTCCAATTTATATTAAACACTATTATACATATTCATTAAGAAAAAAAGAGATCTTGTAGAAAAACCAAAGATATGATCTTATTTTATTCCTAATGCAAATTTTAATAAATTTAAATTTCAAGCCATTTATTTGATATTTTCAGCAAGAGTGTTCTTCACTACTGCAAGAGTACAACAGTCATGCAGCTTTTATGTGAATGGCAAGAACAGGAAGAAGTCCTTTTCACACATGCATAGAATAAATCAGGTCTCTGGTGCAGTCTGGGCAGGGAGGGTGGTATTAGTAGCTCTTTTGATCAGGCAGCAGGTGGAAAAAAAAACTAAACTAGAAATGCTTTCCCATTATATTAGACTAAAATCCCATTTCTATAAGCCTAACCAACTTCCTACTGTTGTCGTTCAGTGTTTCACTGCCATGCTAACCACTCTCCATGCTATCACTCTGCTGTCTCCTTTACTTACATAAAACTTCATAAAAGAAAAAAGGCACTGATTCCTAACCAACACTCCAGTCACCTCCATGAGGATATTCAGCAGCTGGACGCAGCAGCCCAGGAAGGACGTCATGGCTTTGTCTCCCATCCCGACATCCTGCACAAAAATTCACAGATCTTTAGTACATGCTTTAAATCTGAATATTTGTATGGACTAATATATTTACAGGTAAATAAACATTTTGAATAGAATTGGTGCTGAATTGTAACTCTTACCCGTCGACACAAGCGATCTTTGGGTGCTTTCCCCACCTGTTTCAAAATAAATCAATAAAATAAGAGATTTAATTCTGTACAAAGTCCCGACACAGTGACAGAGCTCAGCTCGACTCGTTATGACCAGAACTTACTTTCTCCATGAGAAAGGTTGCTGCTGAGAGACGCTTGGCAATGAATGTACTCCACATCATTGTACAAACACCTGTGAGGAGTTAAGACATGCTGACTACCAGGGAGGTACTGTCTTCTAAAGCATGCATTGTATTATTGGATCAATAAAACAGACCGAAAGCCAGCGTGGTACTCACCTTGCTGAATATGAGGACTGGAGACCATCTTCAAATGTTCCACAGACCAGCAGAGATATCGACCCTCCTATGAAGAGAAGCAGGTGTGAGATCAGACTGCAGATCTATTCAGGTCTTTATGAAAATCGGAAAGTTTGCACTTTCTACTATTAAATACAGTATGTGTTAGTTTGCGCACAGATAGAAGATTTACAATGCTGCACCTGTACCCATAAAAAAGTCAGTAAATTTAGCTAATCTTCCCTTCAAGTCTGTCTGCTGCTGCTACATTTTCACCAGTGTTGGCTGTGAGTGATCTAAGCATAGCAGCAGGTTTTGAAATGGTGTAGAAGAGCACAAGGAGACAACCTTGGAAGAGACGTATGCTAATGCTAAATCTGGGAAAGCTTTTTCCTTCTAATGGGTGGAGACGTGTGACTTTTTGATAACACGTTGTGTGCGTGCTTGTGTATTTGCACACCTCTGGGTCTTTGTTCCACTGCACCACATACTCCCAGCAGCAGTGGGCGAAGAGAAAATCAGGTGAGAGAGAGTGTGGGAACCGCTGGCATACCGCTAACAGCAACTCTGAAAAACACAGAAGAAAACAGAGGCTGATTTGGATTCAGGCTCCATGAAACAATGTGTACTGCAGAACAGGAAATATGACTAATTTGCCTGTCTTCAGCTTACTGTGATTATTTGATCATTAACTTGATTAACCTTGATCATTATGAATAAATACCATACAATGCTATTGTCATCTGTTAGCCAAAGAGAACTGTCACACTGGACGTTAACTGTAGAAAGATCTTTCTATACAAATGTCCAATTTCTACTTTCAATATTCTTGGGCTTTAGCAGACTCATGTGCCCAGCTAGAGTCCAAAATATTTATAGCAATAGACAGTTTTAATTTGATGATCATTGGTTTGACTGTGGTCTATAGGTTGGATGCTTTTAGGTGACCAGACTAGCACTGAGAACAAGCTTACGTTTAATAAGAAAGTTCATAGTGTCATCTGCATAAAAACATATATTACTGATACAGAGGTCCAAAAATAGGCTAAGTAATCTATTTCCATTATTTTACTTTTTGTCTTTTTGAATTTGATTTTTTTTAAAATCACCACAAACAACAACACAGCTGACGCCACATTATTCTAGGATTTTCAAGTTAAACTATATCTCAAAATTGCCCAGAAAGACTAACATACCGAATGTGTGTTAATGTCTCAGTCCTCACCTGCTGTCCTGTCTGTGTCCTCTTGGCTTTTCTCCTTCTCATGTCTTTCTTCTTTGTCTCTCTGCTCCACATTGTCATCTGCTTCTTTATTTTCCCTTTTCTGGAGGATTTCCTTGAGCCGCTCTGGGGAAATGTCTTGTCTAAACACCCACTTAGAGACACTGTCGGCAATACCGCCTGAAACAGACAAAAGCAAACGGTGAATGTATTTGAAATTACTAAGTAGGCTTTGGCCAGGCAGTGTATTTGAATGGGTTGTGGCAGTTGTTCCAGATTCCCACACTCCAAAGAAGAATGCAGCCATCAGGGGAAAACTATAGTCAATATCATCAAGACACTGAATTCATGGAGAGAAGAAGTCAAAAAAACAAGGAGTAACTGAGGAGAGAATACAGTGCATTTGAATAAATTTATGAAGTGAGGAAAAACCAAGAAAAGAAACATGACAAGTGAAAAATTAGCTCATACAGCTTGAAGTCTCCCTGAACTTATTTTTCTCTACCTGTGCCTCCCTCCAACAATGTTTTAATAGAGCACTGAACTGTAGCGCCCCCCGTTGCTCCTGGTGGAGGAGGCACCAACAGCAGAGTCTGCAGCACCAGCACGTCTTCCAGCTGGCGAACACACACCACCCACTGCTCCAACTCCAGTGACACTGCCTCCCACTCTGACTGAAACTGACACACACACACATTAGTGTTGGTTGATTTTAAAGGGGGTTATGTTCCTATTTTTTGCTTAAGACAGTCCTCAAGTGCATGACGCTTCTCTACCTTGCTATCAGCTCGGCTTGTGATGCTAGCTTTAGCAGCACGGTGAGCAACCAGTGCAGCCAGCAGGGCAGCGGCAGCGTTGTGGGACTGAACGCATGTAGTGCGGACTTGCTGCCACCAGGGGGAGATTGACTGTGGGTCCCATGACTCCTCGACTGCACCTAAACGGAGGAAGAGAAAAAGAAGAGGCCACTCTTATTCTACTTATTCTTCTTTTCCAGTCTGACGGTTACTTCTTGAGGTTCACATTTCTTTCGATTTCTTGTTGTCCAACTGAAGAAAACCACCAGAGCACCAACCAACATCAGCACATCTAACATCAGAAACATCAGATGAATTAGCCCTTCAACCATTAACATATAGAGTTGTATTATTTAGCCTCGCGAACTACACAAACACAACAAGCCTTACAGGTACCTTTCATATTGCTGAGGGCGACAAGTAGTCTGTGGAGGTTTCGAACATTTTCCTCTGGTTTCTGTAGCAACTCCTTCTCCCGATGCAACCACACACTCAACAGCAAAGACTGACAGAAACAGAAAGTATGAACTGAATTAATTACTGATATTTGTTCAAAGACCTATTTGGAGTATATTATACACCCTAATATCATGTGAGAACATATCAGGCTCCAGACACACTGGGTAGACTTACGCAGACAGATAATGACGTCTGTGTTCTTTCACTCATTAACAGTAAATACTGAATACTGATATCACAATATAAAGTGGCCATTACTGAATAAATTACACACCAGTGGGTTGTGGTTCATCTTTGGCAAAGATTTAAAAAGCCTCATATCAGTATTATGTATGTATCATACAGTAAAAAATTTAAAAGCTATGCAATTCTATATAAAATAGTATGAACTATATAAGATTTGTAAGATTTCTCTCAACAGCAGCTACACATCCTGTCACATCCTGATCCCAGCTTTCACCCATTCTTTCCCCCCAGCTTACCAGAAGCTGCTGTGGGCTGATGCCGGCCTGCTGTAGTGTGTAACAGACTTTATGGAGTGGACTTTTTCCACACAGACAACTCCAGAACAAGAAGTTTCCTGCAAATGACAAACAGGAAAAGTAGTCAGTCTGAGTTTTGATTGAGTGTAACAGCATTAATGTGCCTACTTATGTTGCCTGCCTTACCCAACTGGTTCCATTCAGTTTCAGACCTACGGATCACCTTAACCTCCTCATCCTCTGTGCACTCCAACTGGGAGAGAAAAGCCTGAGCAGGCAGGGGGGAGTCAGGCGAATCCTGGGCAAACGAAACACTGTGTCTTGGTGTGAACTGGGCATAGCGCTGCAAGGTCGGTGCAACACGGGACAATTCCTCCTCTATGCCTTCAAGGGAGTCCTGCAAGGATGGAAGAAAGAAATACTGGAATAGCACCGAGGTTTCAGTTCACCACTTCTAAAGAAGCTCTTAATTTCTTTAAATCTGTGTGTGTGTGTGTGTGTGTTTTCACATTTTCAGCGGTTTCCTCGACATCTGCGGCAGAATGCAGTTGCTGGATGTCTGTGTAGAGCTGCAGTAGTTTGAGCTGTGATGAGCAGAGCTGAAGTAACTCAGCATCCACTTCCTCAGGCTCTGAAGTGCAGAAACAAAAGCAGAAACAAGCCCAGGGTGATTATGAGATACAAGTTCCTGACACTTTTTCATATTACATTTCTGTCATCAGTAAACGTATACTTTACCTTGCCGTTTCAAAGTGTCATCTAAGGCACGTGTGATGTTAACAAGACAAGAGACAGGAGTGTTTTTATTTGACAGAAGAGACTCCAGTGCCTGAAAGAAAACGGAGACACTGAAATTACAACATCATATTAAACTGACAAGAAGAGTTTTCAGTGAATAATGGCAGCAGTGGTGTTCAGTTCGGTTGCAACCACAATTTAAAATCACCTGGAAAATAAAGGATATTTACATATAGGGCCAGTGTGCCCAAGGAGACTTGAACAGGGGCCCAGGATTGAGCTGCTGGACCAATCAGGGCTGTTCAAGTATTTGAAAAGAAATTACTTGGGTTCCTGTCCCATGTGAAAGAAAAAGTAAAAGTTGCTTCATCATTCTTAGACTTAACGGACTTCTAATTTTAATCTCTTTTTCAATTTATATTTAGTTTTCAGTTGCAGGTTGGTTAGATTTATAGATTTAGGAGAAGTCTGTAATTAGAGTAAAACAGGGGCATTTAAAACAATAACCACATCAGATTTTGGTCGTACCTGCTTCTTAACTGCAGGGTGTTTGATATCTAGTAAGATGCTTCTGGCTTCACTCTCCAATATATCTAAAAGAACACAGAGTCATTAATAATATAATACTGTATAACACGTGAAATAGATTTGAACATGCAACCTGACATCTCTCGTCATGCACATTTTTAGCTTACCAAGCTCAATGTCTCGGCTCCTTAGTAGGGTAGTGAGTTTCTTTACCAGGTGCATATCTTTGGCTCGCTCGCTCTTCTTATCACTGAAGTGAAAAAGACAGAAAGATGGAGTTAGAGGGGACTTTTGCTGCTGTCGTGCAGTAGGTTTTTTGTTTGTGCCTTTTGGAGATTTTTTAAGGCAATTATCTGACAATAATTTATTTATAAAGCTCTTTCAAACAAAGTGGTGTATAACTATTTGAAACTAAAAAGATAAATAAATAAAAGCGATACATAGCAATACAAGTAAAAAACACAATACAAGTTAAAAACAGTAAGAATTTAAAAACTAAAAGCCATAAAATTAAGACATGTAGGATAGGGTGAACAAATGTGTCTTCAGCTTAGTTTAAAAACCTCCACAGAGCATGCCTGCCTAATATCTTGAGGGAGGTTGTTCCACAGAAACGGGGCAGGGAAAGAAAAGGCACGCTCTCCAATTGTCTTTTTTCTGGCTCTAGGAACCTTTAGAAGGCCAGAGTCCTGAGATTGTAAAGGTGTAAAAGGTCGGAAAGGTATGAAGGTGCCGTTTAAAGCCTTGTAGGTGAGCAGCAGGACCTTAAAATCTGCTCGAACCTGACAAGGTAGCCAGTGAAGAGATCTTAGTACTGGGCTAATGTGCTCAAATTTCCCAGATCTTGTTAAAATGCGAGCAGCTGCATTTTGCAGCTGCAGACCTCTAAAACTTTTCTTTGGTAGCCCAGAAAGAAGAGCATTACAGTAATCAATATGTGAAGACACAAATGCATGGACAAGAACCTCTGCAGTGTTTCTTAACAAAACTTGTCTGATTCTGCTATGTTCCTCAAATGATAAAAGGCGGTCTTTGTTATCTCTTTTACACGAGACTCGAAGGAGAGCACCATGTCGAACCACACGCCCATATTTCTCACCGTTTGGTTATGTGTACCAATAACCTGTCAAAGGTGTTTTTGCTGTGAGTAAAATTCACAGATTTTACCTGGATGTTTTTTCTTAACAATAATTAGCACGTATCCAAAGCCAGTCATTTACATAGCAAACATAGCCACACAACATATTCTGGGGTACCAAAACAAAACCAGTGGTCAGTTCAGAAAGTCTGTCTTTACAGCTGAAGCGTAAAGAATGATCATTCAACCTGTAGGAATCCTATGACAAAAACTGATTTTTTTGAACCTCACAGAACCAGGAAGTTGCAGCTCTTCAGATCCAACCTAATGTCAAATATTCATGACTCTTTGTGTCAGATTTAAGAGTTTTTAAAGGTGGGGAAAATCTGACCTAAGAAAGTGGGCAAGACTCTGAAAAATTGATTTTTTTTCACTGCACCTGCATTCATTTTCAACACCTACATGACAGCCTGTCCTTTTAGTCTGCGTACAAACCTGAGAGCCAGGTGGAAGGGAATGTTCACGGTCCTCAGAACTCCTGTGATTGGATCAAGCAGACACACCTGCTGTGTGTGCAGCTGCCAACCCTGACTGGTCACACTGTTCACCCCCATCAGACGGTAACCAGCATACAGCAACCTGCAACACCGTACAAGCATATATTTTGTTATATTCCAACTTCAGGATCAAATGAGATTCTTCTTCAGTAAGAAAATGTGGGAGCTTCACGGTGTGTACCTGCAATGTTTGCCTACAGTGAAAGCTCCGACCCGAGGCCCCTGTTGCATTGCCCAAACCTCCAGAATCCCCCTACGAGGGGCGTAGATGACGAGGAACAGAGCGTGGCGTCTGGGGAGGGACGCCGAGGGGGAAAAATCACGCTCGCTACGCTCCTCTGGAACCTGCAGCCAACCCAATTGGGCATCTCTGTAACCTGGAGATAAATTTATGATTGGGACATTGTTAGGATTTTATTAATAATGACACAGGCCGAAGAAGGAATCATAGTAAAAATAAACATTACAGTGTTTAGGGCAACTCCTGCTACATTGTGAAGCTCTTTAATTAATTATTTTTAAAGTGGCCCCAGATAGAAAAGCAGCATAAGATTAAAAATAAATCTATGAAAACAAAAAAAGGAAACATCTTCATCTGATCGTCTGTACAAAGATTAGATTATCAGATTTTAAATTGGGCTGTGACATTTTTAATGTATAAAATACCTGATCTACAGACCTATTTTAATATCATACTGAAATTATAAATGCAATGAGATAGAGCTGCATTTCTAGCCCATCTAATGATGCTCAATTTCTCTGGCAACATTCAGATAGTAGGTTAAGAATTAGGTGTTCACAACATGAATGCATCGATCCATCCTGCCTTTTATCAAAGGTTCAGGCTGCTGATGCTGGTGTATTGCTGTAGGGATGTTTTTTGGCATAATTTGGGCTCCTTAGTACCAACTGGTCATCAACTGATTATTGTTGATGACCATGTCCATTACATCCTTTATGACCACAGTGTACCCATCTTCTAATGGCTGCTGCAGCAGGAAGTGACAAAGCTCAAATCATCATTTTAAACTGATTGCTTGAGCATGACAGTGAGTTCGCTGTACTCAAATAGCCTCCACAGTGACCAGATCTGAGTCCAAAAGAGCAACTTGGGCATGTGGTGGAACAGGTGGTTTGCATCATGGGTGCACAGGCTACACATCTGCAGTAAATGTGCGACACTATCCTGCCAATATGGAACAAATTTATGTATGTGTTTCTATTACATGTGTGTGTCACTCACAACTAATTGTTCTTCCACGTGTTTACACCTCACCTTTCCACATGCGAATGGCGATGCCCCTGGCCAAGTCCAGCAGTGTGACTCGGCCAAAGTCATCAGTCACTCCAGCCAGCGTGTTGCACGGGGACAGACATATCGACTCGCCATGCCGCCGAGAGTCTGGGAGACCAAATCTGCAAGGGAGAGCAGCAAGTGTGTTGAGGTCAGATTAGGTTTTCGGTCTCAACAGCACACAGTCGGCGACGACTGGATTTGTGTTTTAGATGTCCCAGTTCGTACCTGATACTTAAAGGGGTGGCAGGCTCCACCTTGGGCTTCTGTTTCTGGGGAGCCTCCTCTTCGTTCTTGTTTTTGTTCCATCCCAACCACCCGCTGAGAGGGAAATGACAAGTGACGATAGAAAAAATAGAAAGAGGAAAAAGAAAAAGTGAGTGAGAAACAGTAAGGAGGAAACTTCAAACACAGGTCTTCCGTCTCCAGATGCTTTCCAGCACACTGACCCCTGACTTTGGCTTGGAAACAACTTCTCCACTGGATGAGGCATTTGTCTTTGCCGCCTGTGCGCTTATGCCCTGTGCTTTGATACAAGCCTCCAAAAACTATCCATTTGTCGGATCATTTTATTGGAGCCCAAAGACTCTGGACCGTTTTTGACTTAGTTGTGTCTAAGTATTTGTTTGCTTTTGGAACTTGAAGATAATTTGGTTCCCAAAACAGTGAATGACCTCAGACTTTAAAAACAGATTTATTGAAACCACTTTGAAAGCCAGAGAAAAATTACAAGATTAATGAACTTGGATTTAAAGTTAATGAGCACAATGAAGAGTTTAAATTATATTTAAGTCACAACTTAAACATATAGCTGCTTAGCAATTGTATAACAGTGGAAATCATCACTGTATGATCTAGGAAAATAAAAATGTAAAAAAATTAAAAATAGGACAGAGAACCTAAGCCTGGGGAACACCATGTGATTGGGCTTCACACACTCACACCACACGCACACATACATACACACACACGCACACACACACCTGGCAGCACTGAAGAGGGCTGAGGTGAGTTTACTGGCCACTGCCATAGCCACGTGGGACAGCAGAGGCTGAGAACTCCCCTATAAACAGTTAGGGACACAAGAAAAAGGCGATTTTTTGTTAATTTTTTAACTGCAGGCGATTATAGTCATGATACATACCCATTTTGAAAATATAATTACCTCTATAGCATAGTAAAAGCCCGTGTATGGCCCAGATCCTACAGTGACATACTGGCTCATGGCGGGGGGGCTGCCTTTGACTGAGGCGTTGAATCCCCCCAGGATAGATGCGTTCTTCATTTGGTCAAAGACACACAGTGTCATGATGCCTAAAAGCAGAAGAGTTACTTACTGTCATCTGGATCAATCATAAAGATAAATCTGTAGACTCTCCATCTGAATTTATCACTTTAAGAGTAAATATCTCAGTTGAAATATGTAAAGGTGAATGATATATCCGTCAGATGGAGTCTTTTTTGATTAACACTGGTTAGTGTTCTCTCTCCAGCTCTATTTGCTCTATTAAAATGCATGAAGGGCTAATTCATCTGATGTTGTAAATGTAAATGACACAGTCGCATCTGCAGATCCAAAACATTATGTTGTTTAATATCATAAGTCAATCCATTATGCAGCAGCCAACCACCAGCGTGAATTATCAGTGGAAAGCTCTCAAACA